TATGCACACCTGCTGTGAGTTTTGCACATTTATTTTTGAGATTGTCGACCGTTGCTTTGAGAAGACTCATCCTGTGAATGAATCAAACAAAGGGATTGCTGTTAAAGAGAGTACTAAGATCACCTGCCTTCTCATGATACACATTTTTTCTATCCATCGTTATGTTATGTTTAATTTCAGTTAGGTTAATATTTGCAATTAATGAAAACAAATTGTTGTGTTGAAAGTGAAGCTATACTGTTAGAGATGATTATAATTCTGACAGTGGTTCTCAAACCTTCTCACTTAGAGACTCCTTATTGGAAAAGTTAGACCTGCAGAGACCACCATTTGTTTTAGATTGTCTCAGGGTCCCTCCCATTTAGTTTTGTGGGAAAATACAAAATCAATAACCCCTAAAAAGCATTCAAAGATAGAAAGAGAGAAAGAGAGAAAGAAATGTTTTTAGTTCTATTAGCATAATACATTAAAGGAGCAGTCTGTAAACCTTTCTGTGTTCTAACCTCTCTCCATTTTTCAAAAGCATCTCCAATATTGATCCTAGTTTGAGCACGTTTCTGCTCGTGGAGCTTATTAGAAACATGCAGAGGCTTTTTAGGTCGGGTACAATCACTTCTATCTGAACCACTTCTCTTGACCGCTTCCATCACTGCAACACCTGTTGCGTGTGTTAAAAGCGTCTCTGGTCAAAACGAATACAAACCATTTTGATCCGGAATGGAAAGTGTAGAAGGAGGACATACTGGTACTTCAACAGCATGTTCTCTTAATGTCTGATGATGCAGTAAGGTCATTTTATGATTTAATTCAGTAGATATCTTACATATTGCTCCTTTAAAGTTTATTGAGGTTTAAAAGAGATTATAGAGTAACAGTATTTTATAAGGTCTAGCCATCTTTAACTCCTCTGTATAGTTGAATCTATCATTTCCCTGTAACTGGCATGAACAGGAAATGTGGTGAAAAAGCTCCAACATAAATGTACCTTATTTATTTAGTCAGAACATACAGATTCAGCATATTACAGGTGGTATATGTAGTAAGTGCTTTTTAGCTTTTCCTTTACAAAATAAATGAATCAAATGTGAGATTCCATTTAACTCTAACTTTACACTTTTTCACGAGTCCCAGCTTTGCTTCAAAAAAAAGTTCCAGTGTTTTGTTTTTTTACCAGTCAGGCTGGTATTTTAGGACGCTCAGATGTTCACAGGTCTCCATAATGAGACATGTTTCAAGAACTACACAGTAAATATAAAAATCCATGAGCAGAAGAAACACAAAGAATAAACTCAATTGTTCATCTGGTGGGTTCATTAGCGATGCCAACACATGGTGCAGAGATTTAATTCCACATCTTCCAATATATAAATCTGCTCTGTTGTTGATCCGCCGCTTTGTAAAACGCCATGTCACTGCTTTTCTTCACTCCGTCCGTCCGTCCAGGGAATCACTGCACGTCCCAGATCTCACAGAGCAGCGGGGTAAATTTGTGGTCATTTGTCCTCCAGGATGTGAGCATCTCGGCGTGGTAGTGGCTGAGTGTCCTCAGCTCCGTCAGTCGGCCCAGGAGACGAGCGAAGTACTGCGGCTCCTGTGGGCGCTGCAGGACGCACAGCTTCCTCAGCAGCTCCAGCATGGTCTCCTGAATCCTCTCCACAGCCTGCTGATCCTTCACGTAGGGCCGATCTGGAGAGATTATAAAGTGAAGCTTTGTAGAATATCAAAAGTAAAAAATAACACGTCTATGAAAAGATGTGTTGAGAGTGGCTCACCTGGTGTCAGGATGGTGATGGTCGTGAGGAGAGCCTGTTCCTCTTGCACCATGTGCAGTGAAACGATGCTTTTGTAAAAGTTAAACATGGGTATGATGAATTCCTCTGATATGCCTGTAGATATATACAATAAATTTTTACAAAATGTTTATGGTAAAGTAATATTCTACATGATAAAGCCAAGTCCAGACCTCTCAGTGATGTAATTATATTTTAAGCATCCAAACAACACTACAGTTACAATTCTACAATTCACTGAGCAGACTCTTTTCTCCAAAGCGACGTACATCAGAGAGTAAGAACAACACAAGCAAGGATCTAGAAAAAAGGGAACAATGTGAGTAAGAGCAAACGATCAGCTTTGAGTCTGATTGGACACACAGGTGCTGACAGGAAGTGACCAGAGGCAAAGCACAACATTGAGGGCAGTTCTTGAGAGCTCTAATCAGTATAGAAACCATCTTATAAGTCGTCGTTATCAAACAAAACCATCGTCATTACCATCATCATCATCAATAATATGGAGACCATCATCATTAAGTTAGTAGGTATTCATAAAGAGCTGGGTCTTTAGCTTTTTCTTAAAGGTGCAGAGGGACTCTGCAGATCACATGGAGTTTGGAAGTTCATTCCACCACCGGGGGGCGACAGAGGAGAAGAGTTACATACAATTAGTGTACACCGTTGAGTGCACCATGCACAAGACTGTTAATCATTTTTCAAACTAAGGTACTATGGTAAAAAGAAGAGAGGGGAGACGATGAATTAAGAGATTTAAGCAATTAAATCTCTGTATATCTGAATATAACAAGGATTCACAACTTTTGAATGAAGGTTTGTGAAAGTTATGTAATGAACATTATTGCCACTATTTAAAGTCTTTATATGTGATTTTTTTGATCCAGCAGATGTCGCCCTTGAGCACCAGCATGAAACCAAAACAACTGGCGCTGCATTGTTGTGTTAGCATGCTAATGCTAGCGATCTTTATTATGCTGGTATCTTCACACTGCATGTAAATTTACCTGAAATGAGCGTGATCTAGAAACACAGTTAAGCAGTGAGTACAGTATGTTATTCTTCTTTTCTCTAGTCCCTCAATTAAACTACTTTTATACACGAGGGGAGGAGTCAGCCGGCCGTCCTGGCGATGTAAACAAAGTGAAGATAGGACTCTGAAAACTCTGAAAACATCACAGACAGTGGGACTCGGGTGTTACACCCATTGTAGACAGTCATGACTCACAGAGTTATTTTCAGAGGATATACTTGATTTATATTTAAGTGTGAAAAATCACATAGAAAGACTTTAAGTGTAAATCTTCAACCAGCTTTGATCAAGTTTTTCCTGTTCATTAATATGTACAAAAAACTTTGGTTTCCCTCAGTAGAATTAAAATTAAAAAGGTACGACAATTACAAAGTCCTTTCTATATGATTTCAAATGTTTGCACTCTGGCTACAGTTCCTTATTTTGTCACTCTTCAAACTGGCAGAGGGTCTCTCTCTGCCCAGGCACATCATCAAGCATTCAGAAATGCCAGAGGGGCTCAGAGGGAGTGAAGTGGACAATAGCACTTTTGATGTTTAGATAAGAAACAATGGTCACTTCAGACAGCTCGGCTCACTTATTCCCCCACACCGGCCTTCAGTGTGAATATCTCAACCATTCACACCAGAGCTGCACCGAGGGAATGCAGCCGCCCGTCTAAATGTCCAGCCTGGTTGACATAATGACACCTCACATTAATATACATGATTTTTAAAAACCAGGCAGTAAACTACTTGATATGGGATACATGTTCAGAGTCTGCAAAGACAGTAAATGTGAGTTTAAACCTTTGCAGGGCAGACACAACTTCTACATTTGAGTGTTTTCATCTAATAAACCCAAATCCAGTAAAGACCTGAGTTTACCTTTAATGCTCTCTCTTACCTGTCTGTCTGCTTAAAGTGAAACAGTACCCAGCTAGCGTGTGTGTGTGTGCACACACATGTAAGAGACACCGAGCCAGGATCAACAGGTCAGTACACATCTCACAGCTGCATCACACAGATCAAGCAGATCAATAATTAAAGAAGGATCTGACTAAAGCTGGCTGCATAGCTGCAGGTGGAAATAAAAATGTTGTGAAGCTGCATGTGCGGCCTGCAGTGACTGGAATCTTGAAGGTCATGAATCTGTGCAGGGACGGATTCAAAGGTCTGAACCTCCTAATCATGAATTAGGAGTATTTGTTTTTTGCACATTGTGGTTGCACGCTGAAATAAATTATTTTGAGAGGGGGCTCAAGTTTTGCTAAATCTTTAGGACTTGTGTGGTTGCACATTGGGGATTTGATTCATTGTCTTACACGTTTTACACATCTGTCCAGTGGACTCACCACTCTTGCGTATCCTTTCCTCCAAAACTTCTGTTTGTCCACTGGGCATCTTTCTGCTGAAAACCTGAGCTGAGCGCAGAAACATGGCCTCCACAGCCGAACCCTTCAGCAGAGCGATCTGATCCTCACGATCCAGAGAGAGAAAGCCTGCCAGAGGCATCACACCCATCATCACTCAGTTGTATTTTTTACCTTTGAAGATTCAAACCTTTGCATACCAGTGAACAATACCTGGAATATTTTTTGTAAACTCCACCAGAACTTGAACTTGACTTGTTGCCATTTCCGTCAACAGGAGGAAGTTTTCGTCGGCACTGTACTGTTCTTGTAGCTGGAGACAAAAAACAACAGTAAAAAAGCACCTGTCTGGACTTTACATAGATTAAACCAAATGTTCACAGATTTGATTCATTTTACCTTTGGGATTTGAAATAGTTTCAAAATGAACATCTAAGTGCTATTAAAGGTAGCGTACCAGTTTTTTTGCCACATCTTGAGGAATCTGATGTGTGCTGTAAGCGTCGACAATGACTTTCATGAGCGTCCGCTGCTCTTTAGTGATTTCAACTTTCTCCTTGATGAAAACAGAAAATAGAAAATAAGTTTATGCAACTACGACGGAGCATTAGGGCCACGTTAAAATCATAATTTTTTTTTAAATTTCGAGATTAAAGTCGTAAATTTGCAAGAATAAAGTCGTAAATTTAAGAGATTAAAAGTCGTAAATGTACGAGAATAAAGTCATAAATTTACGAGATTAAACTCCTAAATTTACAAGTTTAATCTTGTAAATTAACAAGTTCGAGACCAGCCTGCGCGAAAATGATGAAAGTCTCGAACTCGTTAATTTACAAGATTATTCTCGTAAATTTACGACTTTAATCTCAAAATTAAAAAAATATTTTTTTTAACGTGGCCCTAATCCTCCGTCGTATGCAACAGATGAAAAAATGCAAACATCATGACTTGACAGAGGCTGTACCTTTGGCAGTTTGGTGGTTGAGGTGACATGTTTGCTGTCTGCGACGTCCGCCCCCTCCGTCTCGTCTCCGGTCGACGGTCCAGGGGAGGCCTTTGTGTTCTTCCGCAGCCTTTTGGACTTACACTGGATCTCTGTCAGCAGGCCTGCCAGCGGTGATGAAGGCTTCAATATGTGTGTTAAATACCTCACAGATCTTTATTCAACAGCGTTTGTAAATGTTCAACTCTAATTTGTCACGTGGCCATATTCAAGTAAAAAAGTTAAAAAAAATAATAATTGCAAATGAAATGAGAATCATAATTACAAATTAAAATTTCATCACACACCAAACTCACTGCAGTGTGATTTAATGTTTCTGTAAGAGCTGGCTTTACTTCTGCTGCTGCAAACTCAATTCAGCTTTCCTCTGATATGTTTATTACTTCTAACAAAATAATAAATGTGCGTATATTTTTTTAATATTTGACGTTGTAAGTTCATGTAAAAAAAAGGTAGTGAGAGAATTTGAGTCTTTGGAATGAGAGGAGAGAAGACAATGACAAAGGTGGACAGAAATAAGGGAACTCTTTTCTCATTATGGAAAGACTCATTGGTTAAGCTCTTACTGCACTAGTGGGCAGAGTCATGAATGCCTGGATGCTACCCTGCAATATTCATCACAACTAGCCTGCACTATTCATGAGCAACACGAGTCCAATCCATCCAGCTGCTCTTTTTAAACTGACAGCTCATAATACGACCAAAACACTAATCCTCTAAAGACTACAAAAGTTCATGATAAAAGGCTCTTTAATTCACCTTGCCTCAGTTTCTGCAGAAAAGTCCTTATTCAAACAAATCCATAGGTGTTTAGATTTGACGCAAACAACACTTAAATGCAAATTCCTTTAAATAAATTGCGATTGTTTTGAAGGTGCTGCTCTTTCCCAGACGGAGCTTAAAGACTCTACTCTACTTCTATTCCTGTATGGAGTAACAAAAGCTTTGGACCTTTTCTGTTGTGTGATATGTGACACTCAATCCCTCAGTAAAATTTAACCAGCCATGTCAGAATGGAAAATGAGGACTCCCCACGACAGCCCTCGACAGCCTCTCTTGGCACACACAGTTCAGTGTGTGTGTGTGTGTGTGCGTGTGTGCGTGTGTGCGTGTGTGCGTGCGTGCGTGCGTGTGTGTGTGTATGTGGAAAGTGCAAATCAGTTTAAAATGATGCATGATATCAAGTAGAATCCCCATCCTATTCTTCATCTATGTTTCTGATATATAAGGAGTCTTTAATCAATCAGTGATACTCACATTCTGCCAGCATGCCCATCTCTTTGCACTTTCTTAACCGACACTCCTGGCACTTCCTGCGCATGTACATGTCCATCTCGCAGGTTCCACCGCTCTTGCACTTGTACACGGCGTTCTTTGTTATGCTTCGTCTAAAGAAACCTGCAAAGTGGTTGAGAAAATGAGGCACTGTCAGGAAGATGTTCTACCTGCTGTTCTCTAATGGACAACAATATAATACAGTGGACAGTGGTAGAGGAGGACTTTAGGACGGAGATAGTTGGGAATGACTTGTAGGATCGTGGCCTCTGTTTATGGCGGTGCAACCCAACCGCTAGGCCATCTGTGCCCTTGCAGTTTTTAGGTTTTAACCTTTTTTTTTGTCACAACTCTTCTAAAATCTGTCAGTGAACCAAAACACCAAAAGTTACAGGTAAAGGAAAACCAGTTGAATGAGCCACTGAGATGCTCTGTGGAGCGGTGGTGAATCCTCTGTTCTGAACTCATCATGTTTGTTATTATAAATGTGGAACCTTTAATTCTGAACAGAAGATGTTCATATAATTCAGAGGGAGAGTTCTGTGAACGCAGCGGGTAATGATCCAGACACACACACACACACACACACACACACACACACACACACACACACACAGACACACACACAGACACAGACACAGACACACACACACACACACACACACACACACAGACACACACACACACACACAGACACACACACACACACAGACACACACACACACACACACACACACACACACACACACACAGACACACACACACACACAGAGACACACACACACACACACACACACACACACACACAGACACACACACAGACACACACACACACACAGAGACACACACACACACACACACAGAGACACACACACTTTGGAACAGTTATTAGACATTGTGAGGACATTACGCAGAATAACATGCATTAGACGAACACAGCTCGGGTTGCTCGTGCATTGTTCAGCAGAAAGCTGAGAGGGAACCCGACCCGGCAGCACCGCCAGGTAGAGCTGAGCCCATTCTCAGTCCCATAGCAGGACGGGCCAGCTGTCTCACTCCTGGCATTATCCAACCTCACAGTGTGGAATTACTCTTACACCCATTCAACCTGCAGTTTGGCAGGAATCAGAGTATATTCACCATGTCATAAAAACACGGAGGGGGGAGGGGCTGCTGAAGGCCACGCCTCCACAGCCATTACAGTTTTTTCCAATCGCTAACACACTAAAATGAAATGCATAGCACAATTATTCAAACTGACACACAGAGAGCAAAACCTCTTCTCAAGTCTCCAAAAGTCGAAACTCATTTTCTGCTTTACACACATTTTGCAATTCAAAATGAGACTTTTTAAATGCACTGAACACGGTTCTCTGCATAAGACACAACAATCAGACATAAAGTCACATGTTTGCCATTTCAAAACACTGCCATTCAAAATGACACTTCATGAGCTAATTGGCCAATATATGTGCCACCTGGCCAAACACCTCAACTGGTATATGTTGCACTGACTTATTTGGTGAAAAAAATAAATGTTTGAACAGCATGTGTGTGTATGTCTGCAAATATTTCTGTGCATGTGAACAATCTGAAGAATTTTCTACAATTCTAACTATTTTAGTATTATGGCAAAGCATACTAAAGATGAGAGTGGTCTTCATTATGCCCAACAGTGTGTAGTTGGTTAGACAAAAATCTGGTAATATGAATGAAGTGTGGCCACTTGGTGCAAAAGTTTGATTTTGATAATGCTACATATAGTTTTGGTTGCAGTGCTTCATTTTGCAGGATATGTGAGGTATGTTGCAGTTTGTGGTTTTGTGAATTGTGTAAAATATTTTGATAAAACCAGCCTAGTTTGAAAAATTGTGTTTTAGAAATTGGAAAAAAACGGTATTATCTTTGGGCTGCTGGTGACAGCATCATCTCATTACCCAAAGCTGAGTGTTCTTGATCTGGGCATCCTTACTATTCCATCAAGCTACCACACCAGGGAACAACTTTAGTGTTCTGAAAGAACCATCGACCCCGAGGAGGGCTATTCCCGTCCTCCACTTCAACTCCCTCTAAACCATGATGGTAGGGTTATGTATAGTTTAAGTTTACAGCACTTACTGTTGAGTTCATCAGCTCACTAAGGCTGCACAAACCCTTAGTAAGACTCAAATTGTATGTGCAATGCCCAGTTTTAAACGTGAAATGTTAACAGTTAGCTATTTGTTATAACGATTTGTTTCTTGATGTTAGCTGGCTATCATTAGCTGCTGATGTACGATGTAAGCTAATTTAGAGTTAATGTGTTGTTAGTGTTAAAGGCAGACGTGTTAGGAGCAACTTACTTACATACAGCCAAATGAAATAATTACTTTAAAGGTCTGTTCATGTGTAGTCTGTGTTAACAATCAAGCTGTTACCATGGTTACGACAACCGCACAACTCGGTGCTTGGTTCCTATACTGTTTTGTATGCGGGTCAGATTCAGAAAAAAGATGCATGTGGCCTGAGCCACTCTCTGAACTGTACAGACCAATTACACAACCCTTAATCTGGTTTTACCATCAGACGCAGCAGCCAATCAGATCCCTGACACAACAATATCCCCTGTGAAGCTGTAACCTTTCAATGCTGTGTATCAGGCCTGTTGAGCAAGAACAGCATAAACAGCGCTCTTATATATACTACAAAATGTTTTTAACTCTCCCAGCTGCAGCCTGTAAGTTAAAAACAACAACCTCATGTCATCCCAATGTAAGTCTTGTAAAAATATAACAGAAGAAGATCATAAAACTCTGGAAGTAACGTCTTACTAAACAAGGGCAGGCCCATCTGGTGGCATGGGGTGGCATGGCCCGCACTAAAATCTGATTGGCCACAGCACAATCCTTAACCCTCGTCTTAACAGGCTACTTCTTGGTGGTTTGATTTAGTTAGTTTCTTTTGTTTAGTACTTTATACAATGGATGTTTGATTCATGTCTTTCAGGGGCTGAAATTATTCCAGGACTGTGAGTGGAAGAAGTAAAACGAAAAGGGTGAAAATGAATGTGGGAATTTGTTGTTGATGCTGTTTATCAAGATGGAGTCAATGAAGTTTACCTCCCATATGTATGCAAGTAAAGCAGCCTTCGCTCTCAACCTAACCGTTGTTTCCAGTCAGTCAGTAGCAGAGTATAGGGCGGGTAGTGACAACACTGGAAGTCGTTATATATGGTATTTTTTTCTAGGCTGCGTAAACATATTAAAATGGAAATGACAGATATGACAAAAGAGACAGCAGACAGAGTGTTGGAGCGTCAGAGGAACGTTTAGCAGGTCAATAGTGTGTGACTGTTGAAATGCTTTCCTGTAATGCATGCAATGAAAGTACCTAGGATTCACCTGTATACTTAGAAACACTAAAATATATAAGAAGAGTAAATGTAAGTTTAAGAGAACTGCTGTGGGAGGAGGATACACTACTTTGGTTTGAAACTGCAGCTAATAACACCTAAGATAGCAATGATGTGTTAGCATGTTATGCTGGGCTCAAAATGGACTCATGGAAGATGAGTGGTGAAGATGACATGATGATAGTTGCCAAAGGACTGGCGCTGCATGGGAATGGAAAGAAGAAATTGTTTCTGCAAACTGAAAGAGTAAGGCGCTTGTTGTGTTCAAAGAAGCTACTATAAGTGCTCTCTCGTCATGAATATACTTCTCACCTTTACATCCCTCACAGGTGAGAGCGTTGTAGTGGTATCCAGAAGCCTTGTCTCCACACACCACACACAGTTCCTCCCCTTTGACCCGTCCGGCCTGCGACATGTGCCGGGTCCTCTTGCACACGGCGGGCACCGCAACGGCCGTGTCCTCCATCTCAGTGTCATAGCCGACCTCCAGGGGTCCTTTCCTCAGTTCATATATCCCCGTCTGTGAGTACCATTCGTCTCCATTGTAATGAGGGAAGTAGTTGTGACTAGAGTAGTATGTTGTGGAGGACATGGCCGGCTCCATGGAGGAGTACTGCATGCTGGGATAGCTGTTGAAGCTGGGTAAGATGTCAGGATCTTGTAGGAGAGGACTACCTTGATCTGCCAGAATATCTAAAAAGAATAAAGAGAGGATGATGAAGCTGCTTTAAAGAAGGCATGTGCAGAAGTTTGCCAACATTAAAGTCTTTATATGTGATGTTTTGATCCAGCAGATGTCGCCCTTGAGCACCAGCATGAAACCAAAACAACTTGCGCTGCATTGTTGTGTTAGCATGCTAATGCTAGTGATCTTTATTCTGCTGGTATCTTCACACTGCATGTAAATTTACCTGAAATGAGCGTGATCTAGAAACACAGTTAAGCAGTGAGTACAGTATGTTATTCTTCTTTTCTCTAGTCCCTCAATTAAACAACTTTTATACACGAGGGGAGGAGTCAGCCGGCCGTCCGGGCGATGTAAACAAAGTGAAGATAGGACTCTGAAAACTCTGAAAACATCACAGACAGTGGGACTCGGGTGTTACACCCATTGTAGACAGTCATGACTCACAGAGTTATTTTCAGAGGAGATACTTGATTTCTACATTTAAGGGTGAAAAATCACATAGAAAGACTTTAAGGTCGACATACTCGCTTTAGATACAAACTGCATCTTTGGGCATGGCAAATGAACATAGCTTAAGTTGTTAATACATGGCACCAATAATGAGCCAAGTAATGACTGTTGTAGCTGCCTTACTACCAATTTGCTAAGAAGTATAATGATATTTGGTTGAAAGATTTAAAAAAAGGGTTGTAAATGGACCTTCAGTACCATAATCAGAGTCAAGAAGGAACTTTCTGCCGTACCAAAAGACAATACTCTGCAAAAACTAAAAGTACACAACAGATTGAAAAAGATTTCTGGCGGTTACCTAAAAATGTTTTATCCCGTCATCAATGAGCAGAAGTGGAATCTAATGTCAATTATCTGTAAGAGCGTCACGTTGAGGAATCCCTTTCACATTACAAGTAACGTTTTATTTAAAGAATTATTAGTTCTGCTTTATTAATAAAAACTGGTTGCCTATCCCATATGAAATCAAAGGTGATTCATGTCCTGAAAAGGCACTTGATTTGAAATCCAACATCACATGTACATATATCTCCTTACTGTGTAACATGACTTCTATGATAATCTATCTAACCCTTGCAGGGAAACGGTTTCAACTTGTCCCTGCAGAAGCTCGTTAGAACAGAATCTGACTCAACAGTCGTCTGCAACACACACAACACATACTATAAACCTATAAATCATTAACAACTGGCATGCACAGAGGACACAGTGCCTTTTCAGAATGACATAAAACTCTACTCCAAACAATTCTGCAGTTTTGTGTATATGTGACATTGTGTTTTAAAAGAGCAGAGTGTCGATTTGTACTTTTTAAAGACCAGCTGTAGTCTACTTTAACCAGGCTCAAACATTATGAAAACATTGTTAAAGCTATGTGACTAACACAACGCTACGATATCTGTAAGGTATAACACTGACCTCTTGAAGACTTGGTCTGGACCGTATGACCCCCTCAAACAAACTACCAGAGACTTTACTCTCAGAGCCCAACAACCAACTGTGTGATGTTGATCAATCCTTTCTTTGTATTGAACTAACAAATTGTCTTCCATTTATCTCTATTTAAAAAAAAAAGTCCTCTTAGACATGAGAGAAGCAGAGCAAGTGCTGAACCTCTTAAGAAATCCCAGGAGGAGCAAAGGTTGTCACAGCTACTCATTAACCACACAGTCACATTTCTTTACATCATTACAAGTAGCCGGCTAACGTGGGGAAGTCTTTTCCAGATTTGGGCAATGCTACCATCTGACTGCTACTGTGCGCTGTGTGACTCGAGGTGAAGGGAATGGGACAGAAAGATATGAACTGGATAAAGCAATCATGTGTAGTTTCTGTTTCTGTAGGGTAATTATTTCTCTCTGCTTTTTTTTTTTTCATTTCTTTAAAATGGAGTCATTTTTAAAACAGAAGGAGTGGACGTTTGTTTGTTTTTTACATCGTGATATCCTTGACGAAAAGCATCATTTTACTTTTTCTTCAGTCACGTTGGCATCTGTCCCATAACCATTCACAGTGACAGAAGTGGAAATTTGATTTATTTTGATTTATTTTAAGATTTCTTTAATCTGGGGCGCGCTGGTGGCTCAGTGGTTAGGGCGCGCGTCCCATGTGTTGAGACTCTCGTCTCAAGCAGTAGGCCCGGGTTCACTTCCACCCGTGGCCCCTTTCCACATGTCATTCCCCGCTCTCTCTCTCTGGTTTCTGACTCTATCCACTGTCCTCTCTCTCTCTCTGGTTTCAGACTCTATCCACTGTCCTCTCTCTCTCTCTGTCCTCTCTCTCTCTCTCTCTGGTTTCAGACTCTATCCACTGTCCTCTCTCTCTCTCTCTGGTTTCAGACTCTATCCACTGTCCTCTCTCTCTCTCTGGTTTCAGACTCTATCCACTGTCCTCTCTCTCTCTCTCTGGTTTCAGACTCTATCCACTGTCCTCTCTCTCTCTCTCTGGTTTCAGACTCTATCCACTGTCCTCTCTCTCTCTGGTTTCAGACTCTATCCACTGTCCTCTCTCTCTCTGGTTTCTGACTCTATCCACTGTCCTCTCTCTCTCTGGTTTCAGACTCTATCCACTGTCCTCTCTCTCTCTGGTTTCTGACTCTATCCACTGTCCTCTCTCTCTCTGGTTTCAGACTCTATCCACTGTCCTCTCTCTCTCTCTGGTTTCAGACTCTATCCACTGTCCTCTCTCTCTCTCTGGTTTCAGACTCTATCCACTGTCCTCTCTCTCTCTCTGGTTTCTGACTCTATCCACTGTCCTCTCTCTCTCTCTGGTTTCAGACTCTATCCACTGTCCTCTCTCTCTCTGGTTTCAGACTCTATCCACTGTCCTCTCTCTCTCTGGTTTCAGACTCTATCCACTGTCCTCTCTCTCTCTGGTTTCTGACTCTATCCACTGTCCTCTCTCTCTCTCTGGTTTCAGACTCTATCCACTGTCCTCTCTCTCTCTCTGGTTTCTGACTCTATCCACTGTCCTCTCTCTCTCTCTGGTTTCAGACTCTATCCACTGTCCTCTCTCTCTCTCTGGTTTCTGACTCTATCCACTGTCCTCTCTCTCTGGTTTCAGACTCTATCCACTGTCCTCTCTCTCTCTGGTTTCTGACTCTATCCACTGTCCTCTCTCTCTCTCTGGTTTCTGACTCTATCCACTGTCCTCTCTCTGTATTAAAGGCCCAAAAAGCCCAAAAATAAATCTTAAAAAAAAAGATTTCTTTAATCTGCTTTTTACTCGACGTTAGGTGCAACACTTGTTGTTCAGGTTTTCCAAGATTAATTGAATGTGTGTCTTATGCAGTCAGAGTGGTTATTGGTTGCTGTTACAATAAACAGTCAGATAGGCCTCACACCCTCACCATTTGTACTGACTTATTGGGTATTTTGTTGTTGTATGTATGCATGCATGTGAAGAGGACAAACCAGAGACATGTCAGTCTACAACTTAGGCAAAGACAGTGGCGGTTCTAGACCCCCAAACTGGGGCCAGTTGTTTTGTCAGAGAGGAACATTAAACCCAGGTGAAAAACAGACAAAGATGATCGCTTTAAAAATATATAAATTATGCAAAATAAAAGCACACATCATCAAATACCATGATTTATATTTGTTTCAGTATTGAATACTAGATTGTGAGTCAAATACTGTGTATGTGTTTTGAGGGGGGGCTCTTCCTTTTGGAGGGGTGGCCACAGGGTGGGGCAAAAGCTCAGTGTTACAGGGGCACTGGCCCCTGTTGGCCCCTGCCTAGAACCGCCCAAGGGCCAAGATGAATCATCTCAATAACCAATGATGGATTGCAATAAAATGTGACGTTTTCTTCCGCTCAACAAGAGGAAACTTTCAGGGCTTTGAATTAAAGATAAGAATGTTCAAAACTAATTCTGAAGTGCCAAAAAGCTGCAGTTCTCTTAGTGGTCACTTGAGCTAGTCTCCAAAAGCAACGAACTCGCCTAAGGCCTCATATTAAAGATGCCAAACTCTGCAGCAGAATTAAACATGTTTACAATGTGGTATTATTCCCTTTGATCTCTGTATCTCATTTGATTTTTTTCAGGATAGAGGTAAATTGAATTTAATAACTCAAACCTCGAAAGTCTTGATCTGTGTTTCTCTCCTCGTGTATAAAAGTTGTTTAATTGAGGGACTAGAGAAAAGAAGAATAACATACTGTACTCACTGCTTAACTGTGTTTCTAGATCACGCTCATTTCAGGTAAATTTACATGCAGTGTGAAGATACCAGCATAATAAAGATCACTAGCATTAGCATGCTAACACAACAATGCAGCGCCAGTTGTTTTGGTTTCATGCTGGTGCTCAAGGGCGACATCTGCTGGATCAAAAATCACATATAAAGCCTTTAAATAATATTAAGGCTTAAGTAAAGCATAATAAGGGGCCTGTCTGCTCTGTGTCACCTTAGATAATTATGAAACTGAACCTCTTAGTAGCATTTTTGGTGTCTTTTGGTGTCTTTTCATTCAAATTATCTTAAAATAATATATCCTGCTTCTTTTACCAGCTGACATTCTGGTTCCTGTCCAAATATGGACGCTCCTTGCTACTGAAAACGATCATGGCACAGAAACAAATTACCAAGTTTGAGCTTCAGAAAGACAGCCACGGACCAATACTTTGGTTTTTGACCGACTACCTGTAAAACTAAAGACATTATATTATTTTCATCTGTGTTTAAATGCTAGATATAAACGTGTAAGCATGTTAATACATTAAGTTGCATAGTCACTGTGAGCGTGTTAGCTTGTTAAAGCTAGCATTAAGCGAGCAGAAAGAAATGAATTCCTGTCGTCTTTAATGTTTCTCTGTTAGCTGGTTCAGTCACTTACCAAACAAATGGGAGCTCTCTGAGATGGAGAATTCATCGCTGGGTGGGATTTCCAACTGTCCCACCACATTGATGTCGGGGCCCACCCACTCATTCATTCAGGAGAGTCTACGGGCACCAGCTCAGAAAACAAAGGTAGGACTCGGCAAAGTAGGTGTAGGAGAAGTCGGCCTCTGTTTCACTTCTTCAAAAATACAGAAGCAGCAGACATTAGAATCAACATAAAAACATCATATGCATAAATACCAGAGTGGGCCTATACATGAAGTCAAACAGGAAACAGAGAATATATGAACGTCCATAAAACTATCTCAAAACCAAAATAAAACTCATTATCTTTCATCATTAGAGTTCTGTGTCTTGATGGCCTGAGTAAAATTAATTTGTTGTAATAAATGTATTGTGAAAAAAAGATCATCCAGCCTCCTCCCACACAGAAAGACTTCCTGCAGGTACGAAGATGAGGCTGCATTAAGAAGGCCTCCATGAGAGCCTCGTAAGAGCTTTAAAGGTTTTTATGTTCTGTCCCAAAAATGTCAAGTTCATGTTGTACCCTTAAAGTCTTTCTATGTGACTTTTCACACTTAAATATATAAATCAAGTATCTCCTCTGAAAATAACTCTGTGAGTCATGACTGTCTACAATGGGTGTAACACCCGAGTCCCACTGTCTGTGATGTTTTCAGAGTTTTCAGAGTCCTATCTTCACTTTGTTTACATCGCCGGGACGGCCGGCTGACTCCTCCCCTCGTGTATAAAAGTTGTTTAATTGAGGGACTAGAGAAAAGAAGAATAACATACTGTACTCACTGCTTAACTGTGTTTCTAGATCACGCTCATTTCAGGTAAATTTACATGCAGTGTGAAGATACCAGCATAATAAAGATCGCTAGCATTAGCACGCTAACACAACAATGCAGCGTGAGTTGTTTTGGTTTCATGCTGGTGCTCAAGGGCGACATCTGCTGGATCAAAAAATCACATAGAAAGACTTTAAAGATGTGTTTCTAGATCAGCGTCCCCTCCATGAATATGCGTCTTAATCATAATGTAGAGCTCATTTTAAAATAAATCTTTTATGTTCGATCATATTGGAAGTATGAAAACAGACGTCTCTCTTTTTTTTTTTTTACATTTGTGAAGTCCTTACACTGTTTTCAAGGCCACAACACAGCAGCATGCGAAATATTTTATAGACTTCATCTGCCACACTTTTTTTTTTAATTAACTCACTGTAATTTCCCCGGAGATCTAAAAGCAACCCACACAGACCCATAAAACCTTCAGGTCTACTCTAACAACCCCGCACACCCGCAGGACATACCTCTGCCACAGGGGCCACACCAGACTCATAGAAGTCACCACTAAAAATGAAATAGAGTGAGGCTCAGTATCAGAGTTCTTACCTTTTTTCTTGCCAGTTGATGTCGGATCCCTGAGTTGCCAAATTTCCTCTTTTGTTCCGACTCGTTTGTGATATCCACATGGAGAGCTACAGCTTAAATCAATATAATGAACATTAAAGCGCTGGTGTGTCTGCGTTCCAGTGAGAGCATTGTGTGACCACTGAGGTCAGGGAGAGATGGATGGTGGTTATTAATTAAACTGTCCATTCCCCGTCCATGTCATTCCCACCCTCCCTCCCTCCCCAAAAAAAAAAAAAAGTCCCTCTTTATCTCAATGAGTGAAGAAGCTGCCTCATGAATTGTCAAGCAGACCACAAATCCCACCCACACACGCATAAACATCAAACATGGAACGTACACGCCGTCATTAAACACACCACTGGTCGGGGTATGGTCGCAGAGGTTCTGCAATCATGTTTTATTTTGAAGGATTAATGGTCTATTCTTTTGTGCTTTCCTTTCACGGTAACATTTGGACTGTTTTTAAATTTCTTTTGATCGGCACTGAAAGCAGATTTTTATAGAGAGTCTCCAAAATCAGACTGTGCCAAGCATTGGTGTTCGTCCTTGAACCTATCAAACTTTTCTATTATGTCAGTGCCAGACTCGACAGGTTTGTTTATATTGGCACTTTACTTGAAGAAAGGGAAACACACACACAGTACATCAAATTTCTTCCAGTCCCTTAAACTCCTTAATTTGTCCTAAAATCCTGATTAATAGTTTAATCATTGACGGGCTGTTGCTCCATCCAAAGGGGCCCTCCTGAGTCAACACACAGTCTCTCTGGAATAAACAGAACCTTTGCCATTGGCTGCCGGCAGTTTGTGGACTATCTGGTCCCTGTTGAAGAGCATGGGGGGCATGAGAAGGCCTCTGAGAAGTGAAAAAACACAAACCCCGTCAATATATCGACATGTACGGCAATCCTCATGAGTTTTTATTGGGTGTTGATTTAAAACTATTGCATGTTCCCTTTACTCACAATCGTGAGCCCTCGTGTCCTTTACCTTTTTCTAAAACATAAGAGAGAGAAAAACATGTTGTGAAGAAATGCACACAGAGCAACAATTGTATGTGTTAAACGTGTGTGTGTGTGTGTGTGTGTGTGTGTGTGTGTGTGTGTGTGTGTGTGTGTGTGTGTGTGTGTGTGTGTGAATATTTAAAAGATTAACAAGCTAAATGAGCGTCCTTCAACTGAAATCTTTACTTGTAGTTTTGGGGAAACATATCTGACACTGGTGAGGAATATCCTGTCCAGTAATTATCTTCTGCAGTGAAAATGTAAGCAGGCGTTTGAATACAGATAAGACAGAGGATGTTTACCACAACGTGATGGGAAACAGAGCCATCTTTGGAAGATTTAAAGTCCAAATTCAAGGCAATAACATAAACAGGCAGTACGACGCACAAAGAGACATGAGAAGAGACATTAAACTGTGTCTGGTATGAAATGCATCATGTTGATCATTAAAAGAGCTGCAGAGGTAGAACAACTCATTTATTTATTTTGAAGTAGCAATGCCCTTATGACAATGGAACCACCATTTTTATCCACAAGAAAAAACCTTTATTGTCTTTAAAGTCTGGCTCACGCTGTGAGATCGTTTCCCCGACTGTATAAAAGTCGGGGTGTCATGTCAGCTCACACTGTACGACTGAATCGTTTACGACGCCCGACCAGACCTTGAGATCGACGTGCTCACACTGTACGAGCCGATTGTCGGGCACGGCCGGAGAGCTCACACTGTACGAGTGAAATCGAGACGGAGCGTTGACAATTGTTAATAAAGTTTCATTTAAAGAAGTGGGAAGAAGGAAGTGGAAGTTGTTGTAGGATATAGAAAAGTTGATACAATCGTAGATATATGGAGACAAGTTTCAGAAAAGTGCTGCACTGATGATCTGTACCGGGTTGCGTCCTGCCGCTGGTCGCCATGACTACAGTCCTCCCTTGTCTGATTATATTGTAGTCACACACAACTTCTGCCGGACCCTTTCATGATGTAATCGTTAAGATTTTAAATTCTAAATATCAAACATGTTTGAAATAAATCGGGGCGTCCCCGACGATCGCCGGGCAGATCGGGGACGTTAAGATTGGATCTTTGGACCGCTCACTCTACGAGATAATCTGAACAGATAATCGGGTCTGAGCAGCCTCGAGTCGGGAGAGACCCTGAGACTGTCGGGAAGAAGAAGAAGAATCAGAGCTCAAATTGGCCCGATGATCCTGCAGAGTGAGCCAGGCTTTAAAGATGGAATGAGCTTATATTGTTTTCAAGCATTCATGTTCTCCAGGAGATCAGGCCGACTAACTTTGGTTAAATTCCAACTTTAGCCCTCCATTCAGGCTGATGTTTAAACTCAAGTTGACAGACGCAGGACGAACTGAAACAATAGAAACAGTCCAGATATCCATGTGCTGTAATTACCACATTTTTAAATGAGTTTTCCCATCAGGCTTTTTGGCTGGAATGAATCAATATTGGCATGTTTAAAGACTGAACTAAGAAGTTAAACAATGGGAAACTTCAAAACTGCCAAAGATCTCTTTTTAAATACTTAGTTACCACGACGCAATAATTCAGAACTTGAAAACTCTCCAATGATTTTATGTCTCAATACAGAATAGAAATGTATTTTAATGTATGTCATTCTTTTTCTTTTTCTTTTTCTTTTTAAGTCTATGTTTTGTCTCTTTTTTATGTTGTTGTTGTTTTGTTTTGTTTTGTTTTTATACTGTCAATGTAATGTCTATATGTTTGTCTTTTTGTGTGTGTGTATTACTCTGTTACTAAATGAAAATGCAAATAAAAAATATTGGTTAAAGTCTTTCTATGTGATTTTTAACACTTAAATATAAATCAAGTCTATCCTCTGAAAATAACTCTGTGAGTCATGACTGTCTACAATGGGTGTAACACCCGAGTCCCACTGTCTGTGATGTTTTCAGAGTTTTCAGAGTCCTATCTTCACTTTGTTTACATCGCCCGGACGGCCGGCTGACTCCTCCCCTCGTGTATAAAAGTTGTTTAATTGAGGGACTAGAGAAAAGAAGAATAACATACTGTACTCACTGCTTAACTGTGTTTCTAGATCACGCTCATTTCAGGTAAATTTACATGCAGTGTGAAGATACCAGCAGAATAAAGATCACTAGCATTAGCATGCTAACACAACAATGCAGCGCCAGTTGTTTTGGTTTCATGCTGGTGCTCAAGGGCGACATCTGCTGGATCAAAAAATCACATATAAAGCCTTTTTAAAAAAGAAAAGTAATGTATTGACCTTCAATGTGTTCATGTAAAGTGCTGATAAAATCAACGGTCTCTCAAACAACAACATGTAATTGAATATAGAAAATCAATGAATTTCCTCCTACGTGATAAACAGTGAGAGAGAAAATGTCCCATAGTGGTTTTATGATTACAATATAACATTACAAACTGGGTCTCTATTCATGAACCATTGAGAATTTGAAGAGGGGGAAAAAGATGAACACAAATATATAGTTACACTAAAAACCATGATGGAGAAACATCAGCTCTGAAATCCATCCTGTCCCGACATGAAGCTGAACGGAGTGTGTCACAGGAGTGTGTTAGAGGACGAGCGGCTCAGAGTGCTATCGTTTAGCAACAGCAAATACATACAAGCAAAAAGGAAAAAACCAACACCAGGCTCATTACATTAACACTGTGGTCTGTTCTTAACCCCGTTATTACATTCTACAAGCATAACCACTTTTCACGTTGCATAGCTGACACTATACATATCAAAAACTGTTCACAAGGTGCAAAGTAAGCTTCTTAACGTTCAGTCAACATGTTGCTTGCGATGGTTCATTAATGTTGTTTCGGCTGTTTGGTTAGCATCATGAGATGAACACTGGTCTACAGTATGTGTCAGTGTACTGTACGGTACATTTCTGCTCAAATCATTCATGCATTGATGTTTTTTTTGTCTTTTAAATGTTCTGTTTCCTCTTTGATTTCTCGCTGACTGTACATCACACGTATACTGGAGTATAGAGCACCACAGGAATGAGTCCTAAAACCAGGAAGTAAGTTAGCATGTTAGCGCCATGGGGTCTAACGTCTAAAAGCCAACGGGGATTTTGAATGTGTTTGTGGTTAGACGCCTGAAATAAGGTCTGTGGTTAACACAAGCTGAAGAGATGTTGGTGTTTTGTTAGAGCACATAAACTACGTTAGGTAATACCTCCACTTGTGAAGTTTGAAGTTTTTATTCGTCTTTAAAAAGGCGGTTGCTAACAAGAGGCTAAATGTGACTACAGTGGTTGTCGGGGACATTAAAGGTCATCACGCCGGACACAGAGGGCGGGAACTCTCTCACTAGTCGGAGATGTCTCCTGTAGGTTTAATCTTTAGGTTCAGGTGAATATTATGTTAGTAAACTATTTATTAAGCTACGTGGATTAGTTTATCAGAGATCGTCTGAAGCATAACGCTAGTGATGTCACAATCATCTGACCGTGGTGTAGTTAGCTTGTAGCATAACGTTAGCTTTTTACTTCTGTCGGCCGCATTAACGCTTCAAACATCATAAAAATGGCGTTCATCTGTGAAGATTATCCTGCTGAACAAAACGCCTACGCTTCAGAAACGTGTTTAACACAGAGATTATTTTCTGCAATGATCCAAAATCCAATGAAAACATCCCAGAGGAGGATTCTGGTTAGACCCCATGGAGATGATACTTCAGGGTTGGCCTACAAAAATACTTCATATGGTTTGTTCTCTATATGTTATAAAACTGTAATAGAGCTATTATGAGGTACAGCATCTCTGTCTGTTTTTGACATAGGTGTGAAATAAACGATTAGCCTTCACTGAACTTTAAGGTTTTTAAAAGTCCTCTTGGCCCTGAAGGCATCTCACTGGTATCCGTCCTGGAAGTCCCCGTTCCTGAAATGTTCCCCCCCCTCCTCCTCCTCCTGCTGCTGCTGCACGGCGGCCCCTCGTTTCTTTGTCCAGCCTTGTTTGCGCCCGGATGAATTGTCTGTGGTTCCATAGCTCCTCTTGGGAGCGATCACGTTGTCAGTGTTCAGCTCGGACTCTTCAGCCAGCTCGTCCTCATCCATGATGCCGCGTTTATCCTCGCTGGTGTTCTCGGGATCGGCCCACTCCTGCTGCTCTCCAGAGGCAAAGATGGCGTAGAAGATGACCCCCGTGTAATGCACCATGGACGCAATGATAAAGACGTGCTGCCACTCCAGACGCGTCTGTGGAGAGATGGATTGAGTCGTTGAATTTCTGGCATATGAAGCAGACTCACAGAGGTTTTGATAACATACCACTGACGCAATGCTGAAAAAAAGCAACGGCCTTACACCTGCAACAAATATGACCCTCATACCTGACAGAACTCATCCATCTCTCGACTGGGCGTTAACACGTTCCTCAAGACCTTTACTGTTCAATGTTCCTCGAGTCAGATCAGAAAATCTGCTTTTTCTTATTCTGCACCGGACTCTTGGAACAACATACAGCACCTTCTTGAGGGAAATGAACTTTGACCTTTTGGGCATTTTAGAAACCTGATTTTAAGCCTCCTGACCTGTTTGTAACTGTTTCACATAAGTGTGTTTATTCATTGCAGTTTTGTACTCGCTTAATCATCTTAGTCCATTTCAGCCTTTTGTAGTCTGATTTTAACGGTCTTGTTTTATCTGTCTCCTGTTTTTCTTTTTCATTTAATGTCTGTTTTCTAATTATTTCTGTAATGACTCGATGTCGTTGTAAATGAGGGTTGCCCCCCCAATGATCTTTCGAGTGTAAATAAAGGTTGAATGACATGCATTATACATTTCACAGGGCTATCTATTATTTAAACCAGACACTGATTATTGTAAGATCACACGCAGAGATTCAGTGTTTTATCAGAAAAGCAAACATATCTCCTGTGATGTCAACGCAATAATGATTAATAATTAAAAAAAGAGCAAGTCAACAGAGTATGGGATGGCTGAAGGACATAAGCAATAATCCTCGATAACAGCATGTGAGCAAAATATTGTCAAACTGGTAAAACAACTTATCAAATATGTATTTGAATGTAACAGTTACCGCAGTGTGAAAATCCAGTTTGTCATACCTTGTTTTTAGTCAGGGCTCCAACAATCAACGGACACACCATCCCAGAGAGCGTTCCCACTCCGTTTGAGATTCCCATCAGGATGCTGGCGTAACGAGGAGCGATATCCAGATGATTGACATTGAAACCTGAACACACCATACACACCAGAGTTTCACACGAGTAATGTGACATCATTATAAAACACATCATCTTTTTTTTTTTTTATTGCATTTTAATATTTTATAAAAAGTGAGCAGATCCAAACACACTTCTCTTTTTTGTTTCCTTGACAACAGTCTATAAAATATTCAGGAGAATTGTCAGTATGAGCACTTGGCAGGCTAATGCATACTATACTACATCACACCCAAAGGAAAAGTAGACTCTGCATACTCGTTTCATAACAAATCTTTAAAATCCAAAAAGGCTCGAGAACAAAGAAAGGGGATATCGGAGCATTTTGACTATTAATATGACTCGAGTTTTTGCACCAAACCTAGATGGTTTAGGGCACCAGTTAGTTCAACTGACAGCCTCAAATCACAGAGAAAACACACGTTTCTTAGTGCAGGGGTTTTTTGGATGCAGGGGATGTTATACCTGAAATGGCGAATCCACTGAATCCTACAGCCAGAACCAGGAAGGAGATGGCGACGCCCCGAGTGTGAGAAAACCCGACCACCAGCAGCAGGGTTGCCTCCATCCCAAACCCTGTGAGGATACAGAAAAGGAGAGAACGAGTTGGAAAAAATGAGTTATTAACAACCACAAATTGGAAAATTGTTGCTACAACATTTGAGTTGAACACATTGTATGTAGAATGGTAGATGGACCTGAGCTTTTTATTCTTACTCTTCTGACTGCTCTTAGTGTTTTTACACCACAGGTCACACTCACCCGTTCACACCACATTCACACACTGATGCAAGAGGCTGCAATGTAACTATGTAAAGTATCCATCAGTGTAAACTCATCCCATTCACAGGTTGGATCGCATCTATACACCCAGGATCAGAACATGGATCGTTTTTTATTGCCAAGTACATTTATACATACAAAGACATACACACTTTGTGTTTTGTTGCAAAGGACTAAATAAAAAGCAGTAAGAAGAATTAAATAGACTCACTAACATACAGTAAATATAAGATGTTGTGCTTGCATATTTAAGAGGATTTAATACATAACCTCATTGACTTCCAGCGCTTTTTAAACTTCTAGGAAGCATTTACCATTTTACACACATTCATACACTCATCAAGTACCATTAAAGGCCACTAATCAGCTCATTGTTCACACACATTCAAACACCCCACGAGCCCCTGAGTCCGAGATGCCTTCCAAAAAAACCTTGTGTACAAATTCAAAACCATTTAAAATTGTGTATTTGTATTTTTTATAATTGTGTAATTACCTATTGTTGTAAAAAGAAATACAACAAAGTAGTTCCATTTCCAATAAAGTAATATCATGTCATGTCACATGTTTGTTTGATATATATTAACATGCTGCTCTTTACACATAAAGATGAACACACCTGTGAGTCTGTTTGTTAGGTTTTGTGTTTCCAATCAGTGCAAAACTCTTTACATGGGAATGTTCTGCTGCTAGCCTTTCTTTTAATTAGTGCGTGGCTGTGCACTACATTGGGACTATGGGGCTCCCCATTCTCTGCACCCTTTTTTTAGGGGTCGCCAGCTGAACGTTTTGGGAACCCCTGCACTAGTCGAGCCTCTCAACCTATCGAGCCTCACGACGCACCAACACCTCCTTAACAAGAAATCATGAGCCACATTTTCTGAGAATCTTCAGAATGTTTCAACCACTCAGATGTATTTAATGAAAGGTGCAGTTTAAACCTCAGATGCAAGAACATGTGACAGAACAAAGAGATTTTTTCCAGGCACACATTGCGACCCACTGGAAACGGCTCAGTAACCCACTGTTGGGTCCCGACCCACCAGTTGAGAACCATTGCACTAAGCTAAGCCTTTCTGTTCCCAGGTACAAATCACAATAGTGTGCTGTTTAAATGTTTGATGTTTAAAATTGGTATCAACATCAAGACTTAAAGCTGATGAACTTGCGCAAAGTTGGAAGGAAGTCTTTTTAACTCTTAAAGAAAATGAAACCGCCCTACAAGTAAGTGAATGCAGCACCAACAACTAATACAGAAAAACAACAAACACTTTATCTAATATTTTCCTCAGTACTTTTAGAATTAAGTCTAGGGTTCCCTCAAGACTCCTTAAAAACCAAAACATATTCCTGAGGCCATTTTAAACTCTTACTGTCAACAATGTAAAAGAAAACTCTCCTGAAGTTTACAGACACGTTCAGCAAATAACACAACACAGCTGACAAACCTTTAAAACCTGTATTTAGGTTCCTTTGACAAAGGACTTTACATAATGGAAAAGATAACTTTTAAAATAAGACTGTAAAATGCAAAATTTCCTTGACAGATGGTTTCCATGGCAACGAGTGACAGAGGATGTTTAGATACAGGTTGGCAAGGGGAAAATGTGGTGATATGTTAATTTATTAAAATATATACTGAATAGGAGATGTATGGAAACACTATTGTGGTTGCAAAAACTGAAATGAAATCATGGTTATGTCATTGGTGATGTGTGTGTGTCACTTTTTTGTTTTGTTCTGTTTTGTTTGTGTGTGTGTGTGTGTGTGTGTGTGTGTGTGTGTGTGTGTGTGTGTGTGTGTGTGTGTGTGTGTGTGTGTGTGGGGGGGGTCTTTTTTTATGTGGGTTGCTTTTTTTAGTTGCTTTATTTTTCTCTATTACAAGAAAAAATTGGGCAAACTCAGATATTATTATAACCATTTAGTTTTCTTCTTCTGCATTCTATTATTGTTTTTTATAACATTATAAAATAAAATAAAAAAAATAATGATGTAAGAAACTATGCTCAGATAAATGAACTATGTTTGGATTGCCCAATAAACACAAAGTTGCAAAAAAAATAAAAAAACCTGTAAAGGTAAATTTTCCTTTTGTTACAACAATAACAGCGTTGATCAAGGTAAAGTTAAAGCTGTGTGTCCACAGTACAAATAAGTAATCATTTCCTGATAGTGTGTTCTTGTGTTTTTTTGTGTTTCACCTCTCAAACCCTGAACCTGACGTTCTGCACGCTAGGCAGTGAGTTGCTTCCTGTATCAACATTAACAAACAACCTGTGTCTGTGTCACATGACGTACCTCCACAGTTCATAAGTTTCCTCACATTTGTAGTGGACATGATTTTGTTGGTGCGTAAGAAGTCGGCCAGCTGTCCTCCGATAGGAACCACTATCGTCATCACCATGTGGGGTACAGCAGACAGGAGCCCCACCTGTTGGACGACAGCAACACACACAGGAAGCGTTTATATGAATCACTCCACTGACTTATGAAGACTGTGCTTATAAATATTTGTCATTCTGTGCTGTTTGGGGAATCTCAGGGACCAAACCTTGCTAATAGGAAAGCCAAACACTTCCTCAAAGTATGCCGGCTGGCTGATGAGGAGCAGGTAGAAGGTCCAGCTGCGGCAGAAGTTGGCCACGATGATTGCATAGACGGGCATAGAGGTGAAGAAACGACGCCATGGAGTCTTGAATTTCTGAGACAGAGATATGTGTGTTGGCTTTTAATGCTGTTTGTGTGTAAGGATTTTTAGTGGGACAGGAGAACAAAAAAAAGATTTCAAGATCCTGAAACTGGCAGAAGAAAAGTATTACACACCTCAGTCACACTCAACTGGCGCATTGTTTCACCAATGGTGGTCTCAATGTACGTCCTCTCCTCCTGAGTGATGGTGGGATGAGCAGCAGGACTTCCATACGCCAGCAGGAGCCACAGGATGTACCAAAAGATCCCGAAAACACCTTTCACAACAACAACAACAACAACAACATCACTTTCCTTTGTAGATACTCTTCTAAATGTATAATAAGTAATCGAGCTTTGTAAGATGTAACAGAGCAGTTTAAGGGGAATGGGTGGACTAAATAAAGCACGGCTGACCTTCTCTGGACCACCAAAAAAAAATTCATTATGAAAATGAAATGAAGCAGGTGTGAGGCACGGAGCCCAGACAGGAAAATGCTAATTTACATCAATAAATCATGAGATCATATCACAGCACAACCAGAGTAGATTTTTATTAAAGAACACTCGGTGAAGTGTGAATCTAATGCTGGTGTTAATCGTTTTTTTATCAAATCTAAAGCAGGTCAGATAACACATCATGTGCGAGGCATACAAAGTACAAATCCTGGATAAAGAAAAGCACTTGCGTGATGCCAAACTGACACCAAGTGTTTCTAATTACCCAACACCTGAGAACTATTTTTTTGCAGGATATGAAACAGACTGAATTAATATTGATGCCTCTTAATGATCCACAAACAAGACTATAGTTATTTTTTTCACGCTTGTAACCACTGGCAGCAGAAACAGCCTTTGTTGACATTTTTTCCATGGCTTTGTTACCCTAACCCTAAGAAACCAAAATGAAATATTCCAACGGACAACACTACTTACACATGGACGTACAGGACAAGGTCAGGAAAGAGATAATAAATACCAATTTGTCAACAGTGGGGGCGCCAAAGTCAACAAAAAACAACATTTCCGCACAGAAGCTTTAAAGATAAAGTCAGTGGCTTTTCCCAAATAGACCTATAAAAAAGTTGTGCCGCTCAATCATCACTTGTGGGATGATGCAGGACGTGTCTGGCAAAGGAGCAGGGGGGGATTTCCCCAAGTCAACGACAGCGGCAGGTGAGTTTAGGATGTGGATACAATTCAGTGATTGGACGTGATTCAAACCGGCAAATATTACACTCCCCCCCCCCACTACGCTCTGCCAATGAAAGGCGTCTGATCCAACCTTCACAACAGGGTCCTAAGTCTCTGACTAGACTCTTCTCCTCTGTCGCCCCCCGGTGGTGGAATGAACTTCCAAACTCCATGTGATCTGCAGAGTCCCTCTGCACCTTTAAGAAAAAGCTAAAGACCCAGCTCTTTCATGAATACCTACTAACTTAATGATGAAGGTCTCCATATTATTGATGATGATGATGGTAATGACGATGGTTTTTGTTTGATAACGACGACTTATAAGATGGTTTCTATACTGATTAGAGCTCTCAAGAACTGCCCTCAATGTTGTGCTTTGCCTCTGGTCACTTCCTGTCAGCACCTGTGTGTCCAATCAGACTCAAAGCTGATCGTTTGCTCTTACTCACATTGTTCCCTTTTTTCTAGATCCTTGCTAGTGTTGTTCTTACTCTCTGATGTACGTCGCTTTGGAGAAAAGAGTCTCTCAGTGAATTGTAGAATTGTAGAATATTGCGGACACGGACGTTAACGGGATAGAGGAAAAAATATAATCATCTTTAAACTTTATCTTAAACTTTTGTATTCTGTCTCTGTCTTAACACCGCTGTCTTTGTTTTTTCTTTGTGTGAGTCATAGCAGCATTGTCAAACATGAGTCTTACCATAGATGTAGAAGACTGAAGACCATCCAACATACTGAACAAGCACTCCAGCTAATGGCATGGCGATCACTGCTCCTGCATATGAACCTGGAAACAACAGATTTTAATGTCAAGGTATAAACTTCTATATCAGCAGAAACATCCAAGCCAAGGCATGATTTAATAAGAATCCAATAAATAATTGAGATGGCACAAAAATGTCTTTTTTTATATATTTACCTGAACATAAAACAACAGCGTATGGTGCAAATGCATCTTAATAAAAAACACATCCTGGAAACACATTAGTATCAGTGAGTAACACAGTCATTGAATCTTTGGCTCAGAGTGTTTTTAATATAATGGCACAGATTTATGAACTCTGTTGTTTTGAATAGAGCGGGGAGCACGAGAGAGCTTTTTGGACAGTCAGCAATATGATACTTCATTTAGGTGAATAGAGGCAGAGTACACAGGTGAGCCCCGTCCATTTACAGACAATGTCAAGAGGGTTTTGATGCATGGGTTGTCATGGTACCAGTTTAAAGTGCGACCTGGATATTTCAATTTCAGCAGGGGGGCTACAGTGGAGTAAATCTGCAAAGCAAAATCCTCCCTCTCATGTCAATGAAATGACCATTCCTGTTATGCAGACTCTATCCTCACATATCTTTCTGTTGTGGAGTTCATTAGGTGTTTTGCAACACATTTTAACCATAGAGCAACAGGGACAGAGCAACAGCTGGCTGGGAGTGAAGCCAAAAGACTGCCCCTGCTGACAGGCTGCAGTATGGTCATAAACACCACCTCCTCCATGTTAACACATAGAAATGGGTCAACAAGACTCTGACTTGATAGTTATCATCAGGCTGTTTCATGTACAAGTGTAAATTTTGATAGGTTAGGCCAGTGCTTCCAAAAGTGTGGACTGCGGCCCCCTGGTGGGCCGTGTGGGTACTGCAGGTGGGCCGAGAAAAGCCCTCCACCAATTTTAAAAATAAAAGAAATATCACAATAATGATGATTCACCATGAGTCAACCCTTTAAGTGATTAGTAAGACGTGTCATGACTATTCATGGACATAATGTTTACTAAACCTTTGTGTCTATCTCTCCATAATATCATGTTGTCATGTCCAATGATTGACCCTGACTGAAAGTTATAGATGTAGTCATAACTTTTATTAACGGGCCCCGGAGTGATTTTGTATTTCAAAGCGGGCCGCGGCAGTCTGAAGTTTGGGAAAGGCTGGGTTAGGCTATTTGATGCATATAAGGTCAACTATAAGGTCATGAAGTTAGTTATGTGTTAGTAATGTAGAGGAGGAAAGGCGAGAAAACATAAAGAACAACTGAAGTTTCCAAAACTGTGAGTATGTCTGCTCCAAACGGACTCATGAATGTGTCTGCACCGACCTGAGGGATCTTTGACCTTTAACCGCTAGTGACTGGGCTAGCTTTGATGAGCGGAAGTGGCCTTCAACGCAGATCAATGCACGTCTTCATTCTAAAGTACGTTTTGTGATAGCGCCCGTGGGTTTTGGGGGTTTGTCTTCAATTTTGTGCAACGGAAGGAGACAAGAGATGCGCTGTCCATATTACTATACAGTACTATAGGACACATGGGGAATCGCTCACCACAGAAAGATGTCGTGGCCAGTCGACTCCGTTCAAGAGGTGGCGCCCATTTGGACCACATCCCATGGCATGCTGGGTAGGTGACACCCTATAAGGGACGGGGTGTGAAATATGTCATTGGTCAAAGCTTTAAAGGAATGTTTTGACATTTAGCTTTCCTTTTGAGAGTGACATGAGAATATTGAGATTGATTGAAGTGAAATGTTGTGCTTAGTCGAGCCAAAAAACAAAAAGCTATCCTTTAATTCCAGCTAGGCAAACAGACTACAGGTGTTAGCTTAACATGTTTTAGACATGAGAGCACTTTAATCTAATGATAGAAACAAAGCAGGATTACTAAACAGAGGAGTCACCATTACCTCCACAAGGCCCTGCAGGATGCGGACAAACATGACGCAGCCGTAGTGCACCCTGGCTGCTGAAGGAATGAACATGTTGAGCACTGATGTCAGGAAAATGGCCGCCCCAAATACCCTGCAATCATACAGAAATGTCAACATGTTGCCTGCAGTGCAGAAAGGTTACTCCACCTGTATCTCTAAAAGAAAAGTGATTCAACATCAGGAGAACATTTTTTAGACTTTCAAGCAACAATATGTAGAAAGTTGGTTTGGTGAGCTTCGGTGTCCATCGAAGGTCTCGTCTGTTACGCCTCGCTCGACCAGCACAGGAAACGTGACGTTGTGAGAAATAGATTTTGTGTCTTCATTTTTAATCAATGTTTGATAAATTGCTTTTTTTTTTCAAGTTTCACTTTTACTTATATTTTAATTATCAAAATAATAATCACACTGTGGACTTGTTATTTTGATATCTTTACATCCCTCTCTCTTTTTCTGTCATCTTCCTCTTCCTCTTCCACATCCATTATTATTATCATATCAAACTGTACAGAGAGGTGCTAACTTTTACAAACTGAAGGTTTGTGTGTGAACTAGTGCCGTAAAGCTGTACGCACTTCACTTTGCACTTCTCTCAAGAAGACCTCGGGCCAGCTGCCAAAGTTACATAGTGCAGTAAACGGGCGGTGCAGCGCACAGTGGACATAGGGGAGACGTTATTCTACCTGCTGAAAGGTATTGTGCTTTTAAATCAACCCTTTGAAAGTATTATTTTTAGGGAAGAAAAGTGACTTTAAAATCCCACAGTTTGACTCCAGTAATTCAAATGAACCCAGAGTGTTTTTGTTAGATATATCATAATGTAAATATATCAGAGATGTGATTCAGTTTGACATGGAGAGTAAAGTTACTGCTAATAAACAAACAAGACTATTTACTTGTAATTAAATGGAGAGTTCTTGACTGGGACAATCCTTATTTCTCTTTAGTCTTTACAAATCTTTTAAGAAAGTTTCCCCAATAAATTTAAAGCAAATTTTGAGCTTTGGCTTGTTTGACAGTCCAGGAAGAAACAGGTAAGACACAAACTGCAGATCATCAGAGTCTAAAGTGTTGATTTCTAACATGAGCAGGGAGTGTGTGTTCAGCATCAGTCACATCTCACGCCTCTGTCTTTCATATACTGAGATAAAGACATCCTATTCAGTCAGTCCACAACTTTCTGCTTCATCACCACCCTGCCGCTCAGCTCCCCCCCCCCTTCCCCCCTTCCCCCCTTCCCTCTCTCTTTCCAAAACAGTGTGTAAGTGACACTTGTAATATTCCAGTGGCTGGTGTTTCAGAAAGAAATCAGAGGCAGGATCTTTCATTATTAACTCTGTCAGTGGCGTGTCCTCTTTTCCTGTGAGGCTTTTATTACAGGACCGCTATCTGCTCCATCAGCACCGCTCGGCACACCGTACAGCTTTAACCCCTTCAAGCACACACACAGTGAGGAGGATCTAAAACCATCGAAGAATCCTCGTCTTTCTGAGACCTTTCTTGTGTATGTTGTCGTTGAATATATCTAAATTCACACAAAAAACTAGATCTCTGCACACCTCACTAAAAGACTAAAAGACTCCAGGTGTCATTTTTACCAAGTGCAGTCCACATGTTAAACAACAATTAGCTATCTGTTGCTCTTTTTGCACTTGAATTGCACATTTGCACACCTCCACTTTGCACTTTAATAACTTAAAGTCCGGGCTCTTGACTGATTTTATTGCGCTGTTTTTATTTAGTTTTATATTTTTACTGTGTTGTCTGATTTTTTAAATTCTTTTTGGTTTATGTTTCATGGTGATGTTGTCCTTGTGTTTCTAGTCTTCTGTGTGCTTCTGTTGCAACGCAAATTTCCCCTTGTGGGACAGTAAAAAATCTGGAATCTGAATCACATGTAACATCACACCTTTTTATGCTCCTTCATAGACCTGAGTCTGCACTTGTGATATATTTATTATTGATTGATTTCTGTGTGTGTAACGTTGAGGAAACAGAATCCAAAGTATCATCGTGATAATGATTTTCTGATTCATGTTTGAGAAACGACAACATATTCCATAAATAATGGCACAAAAACATGAGGATAGAAGGATGAATAGACGGAAGTGTCACCTGTTGGCTGACAGCTTGTTGGAGATGAAACCGCCGGGGATTTGAGTGACAATGTATCCCCAGAAAAAGGAGCCGTGGATCAGCCCCACTGTCTCTGGGTCCCAGTTAAACTGAGCTTTCTAACAATGCAAGGCAGAAAAATACAATCATCACAGATACATCACTATAGAGGTGTCTGAAATTATCATTTTACATCATGATTTAGTCAAACATTCAAAAAAAAAAACTCCTGAGATTTCTAAAGTGTGATGTTTCTCACTTAAATATAAATCAAGTCTCTCCTCTGAAAATAACTCTGTGAGTCATGACTGTCTACAATGGGTGTAACACCCGAGTCCCACTGTCTGTGATGTTTTCAGAGTTTTCAGAGTCCTATCTTCACTTTGTTTACATCGCCCGGACGGCCGGCTGACTCCTCCCCTCGTGTATAAAAGTTGTTTAATTGAGGGACTAGAGAAAAGAAGAATAACATACTGTACTCACTGCTTAACTGTGTTTCTAGATCACGCTCATTTCAGGTAAATTTACATGCAGTGTGAAGATACCAGCATAATAAAGATCGCTAGCATTAGCATGCTAACACAACAATGCAGCGCCAGTTGTTTTGGTTTCATGCTGGTGCTCAAGGGCGACATCTGCTGGATCAAAACATCACATATAAAGACTTTAAAGAAAGAAAAAAAAGACACATTATGCAAAATCCCCCCCAAAAAAGTCAACATCCTATCTGCTTAATTCAGATACCTGAAGCACAGGAGTTCCATTGATGTACACCGTGTTGTTGTTCACCATCTCCACGATGGCCACGCCGAGGTTGCAGCGGATGCCAAAGGAGATGCAGAAGCCCAGCCCGCTGAGGATGGCGATGATGTAGCGTTTGGGTAGTCCTCCACAGCTGCAGTCCAGCAGCGGGGGAGCGTGTTGAGTTGACGCCACCGGACGCCCATCCTCCGTCAGTTCAATGTTGTCCTCGGCTTCTACATTGCTACCATCTATTTTCCTGTGAAGCAAACAGAAGAGGGCGGATGAAAAAATTAATGCATTTATATATTTTTTAATTTTTTATCTCACATTTATATAAAAAGGTGATATTTAAAATCTTGACTTGGCTGTAGGCTACAAACAAACATATCCAGGATTATTTTATTTCCAATATTCTCATGATAATCATTTCAGGAGCTCATAACTTTTGTCTGTAATGCAAAAAAATTGTGGCAACAGAAACAGCGTAGTGCCATGAGTCTGTCTGCACTCGTACTGAGGGCAGGAGGTGAAGCCAAGACCAAGAAGGTCACAGCAGCACTGAAGTTATCAGGTTGCTTTCAGGTGCATTACACCACTCTGTACACCTGTTCCACAACCCCCCCTCCCCCACCTTCTCCAACCAAAAGGCCTTCATCTGCCTTCAGCACCTATTCCACAGTTATCATCAAGCATGACTCCACGAAGCTGCTGCTTTCAAACACTTTACTTTTCTTTTGTTTCAAGCAGAGTTTTGAGAGAATTATAATGTACATCTCTTCCACATCTAAACCACGGAGGCTACAGCTGATCATGCTGATCCGCTAATCAGCTCCTTTCTGGCCAGGATATGAAACCAGGACAATGTCAAACCCATGTTATAATGTTTAAGATATGATCAGTCTATAATCTGAAATCAAGATTATTACATCATTCTTTCAAAGAGCAATACTGGAGCTGGTCACTCAGTAAATGATTCTCCATACAGCTGCTTCAAAACGATGCTGCATTCAAATGTCAATGCTATCCAGCAAGAATCACAAAGGTGTAAGTAACAGCATGATATTTATTAAATAAAAAAAGTACTGTTCATGATAGTGTCTTTAGCTTCACATGCTGGTTTGTAAAATGGAGCTTTTTTCACATTGCATTGATCAGTTAATTATTCTTTATGTATATTGCGAAATCTACTAAAGTCATTTCAGGACACCAAAACACAACACAAACAAAAAGAGTCCTTACACATGGACATTTCAAATCCATGTTTCAAAAAAGGTGAATTATTTTTTCTTTTAAGAAATATGAAATTGGTGTGTTTGGGCGGCACACAAAATCTGAGTGTGCCTGTCTGGCTTTCACATGATATATAGAGTACAAGATTCAAATATAACAAATAGCAGAGACATATAAGCGTTTGATAATTGCTCTTAAAAAATTATTAATAGAAAACTTGTTCATAATGTAAGTCATTGCATTCTTATTTAACACGACTGGAGGATATGCAGATTGATTCATTTTACAGGAAATTGCCTACTTAGTGCTTTATCTCTATAAATGACAGCAACCCACACACACACACATATCCCTATGGGAAATACGTATCAGATATGAAATATGTATAAATGTCTTAAAATATAAATCTGTGATTACATCACTGGCAATGTCTGGTAATCACTTGAATCAAATATTTATTTATCATTAGGATCTGTGGGAACACATTGGGCTTCCCATCCCCTCTTATCGACTGTGAAGTATTTCTCTTTGTATTGATAACGGGTGAGAAACTGCTTTCATGCAAATCTGTGGAGTGTGGATCGAACACGCTTTCAGACTCTCTCACCTTTGCAGTTTTCCCATAGAGTCCCCAACGGTGTTCTTCACTTCCTCCTTCCCAGGCTTCAGCACCTGTTCTCTCAAACCTGCTAACCCAAAAGGCATGTTTGTTTTCTCTCGAACCCTTTTTATCTCAAATGGTGTCTTATAGCTCACCAACACACTTTGTTGGTGAGAAAGGCAAAAAAAAAAAAAAAAAAAGAATCCACTAGGAGCTTTTCATCATCCTTCCTGAGTTTTGGGACTCCGGAGGGGTGCCGCAGGGTCCCTCAGACTGTTTGTCTTTTCTCTCTGCAGAGAAGTGGATTCTGAGAAGATGTAGAGGTATTCTTCAACGTTCAAAGCACCATGCAGCCAGAGCCTTTGAAGCTGGTGTTATCTCCAACAGATCCAGTTTTTTGGGGGGAAAGGAATGATGAATAAGGATGAGAGCAAAATGAAAGTGTAGAATCCAGGGGGTTCAGTCAGGCATTGTGAGCACCCTGAACTGAATGCACAGCTTAGATCTCCTCTTCATCATCATCCATTCCTAGTGAGGAAGAGACAGTGTAGCTGGTGTTGTAAAAAAAACCCAGCCCCTCGCTTTACAAATCATCATCATCATCATCATCATCATCTCCACAGCGCCCGCCCCCTTCAGCTAGGTCGGTCTATCTGATAGCAGCCCAGAGGAGCAACAATTAAAATATGCATGAGCTTGACAAGTTGCATTGAGGAGAAACAGGAATAGCTCGGCTGCTGTGGTAGAAAAGTGGAGTGTTTGATACCTAAGACTGTGACTTTATGTTCCAGGTTTAAATCATCATCGTGTGTGTTTTTAACAGTATTTGTATTTATGAGTTAATGGCAGATATCAAACGTTTTGTCAGAGAGTTAAATAATTCATGGCTTGAGCACCAATCCCATATCTCTTAGCATCATCTGATTCCCTGCATTTATTTTTCGGCCAGCAGAGGGAAACTAAGTGAATTTTTTAGTCTAAACAGTAATCTGTATCTTAGCCTTGAAACACGCTCTATGGCAATATTGCTTATATACGCTCCATCAATAAACAGCGGGCTCAATCCCCAGAGGACGCTCTTTCATTGAACGAGGTCTTAACAAGATGAACATCTCCACACCAAACATGAATGGAACTGCATCCTTAATTGTTTGTAGATTGTATGTCAAGAAAATCCAACACATTACTTTATTAGATTAAAATACATTTTGTAATCTTGTGAATTTCTTATTCTTAACAACAATTATTTGTCAGTTGTGATTACATTTGAAGACAACACAATAACACAATTATTCAATTATTCAATTCAACTGATAATACTTTTTGAAAGACTTCATTTATCCAACTTTAACTTATAATGAATAGAAATGGGGTCACTTTGAACACACAGAATTGCAGCCAGAAAGAAAAGATGAGAAGTAAGTAAGTAAAATGTAAGATGTTGTTCACCTTTCAAAAGTAACAAAGTGCTTCACAATAAAAGAATAAAAGACAAAACAAAGGTCTAAACAAATGGGTCTAGAAGACAGTTCCAATGTTTAAGAGCTAAAACTTAAAAAGTAGTCTCCTCAAGTTTTGAGTCTGGTGAGATGAACGACCAGCGCTCTGATCAGAGGAGCTTCAAGCTGGTGAGCTTCAGCAAGTCTTCAATGCAGGTGCTCGACCATTTACTGTATTATTATCCTTTTACTACTTTATGCTACTTGTAGAATTTTCTATAAAAGCAACATCACAGATGAGGTTAAGCTGTTTTCAAATAACATTACGTTTCTTATTATATATTAGTATTATTATTATTATTATTATTATTATTATATTTTTTGCACATTTACATTTAATCTTTCATATTTAAGACGAGTAATGTTTAGTTAAATCCTGGTTGTATATATTCCCATTCTTAGTTTTGATATTTTTAGTGTTTATTTACTTTGTATTTAATATTATATTGTGTTTAGATTTACTAATATTGTGTTTTTTGCTCATATTGTGTGTTTGGACAACCTGCTGCTGTAACACAATTTCCCAGTTTGGGATCAATAAAGTCATTCTATTCTATTCTATTCTATTCTATTCTATTCTATTCTATTCTATTATTATCTGCTGATATTTAATACAACAGCGCCCCCTCTTGTTGATTTAGCTGAAGTGAACGTACTTTGTATACAGTGCAACATATCACAAGAATCAATCTCTTTTTAATTCATTAAATGTATGACTTTATTTATTATTTTCCTGAAATGAACATTAAACATAAAACAATACATCTATTTATATATATTTATATATAGGTTTATCCATAACATTCAAGTTTCATAAGCAGGCTATCATCTCTGACATGATTATAAAGTATTTCTAAATCTACTTTTACAGTAAGTAAATGTTAATAAACTATACATCATTTACATCATTTTCCTTACATGCATTACATCTGTTTACATGTAATTGTTTTTTCTAGTTAATGCAGAACATATTAACAGTAACTAACACTAAATCATTCAGTTGTTTATGATGATGTCTTACAGTTATTGCACTTAAAGACAAAATGACCTCTTTGCATTCTTGGTAGTGTCCATACTTGTCCTCTAGCACCATGTTGTGGTAGAATTTGGCAACAGCTTTGATCCTTACTTCTATTCACTATAATTAAAAGATACTTAACATAAGAATGAGACAGGTGCAGGATGTGTTTGCCCCGTTCCCTCTGAAGTAACATACAGATATCTACATTAAACATCACATTGTGTTATCTTTTCTAGACTATCTTTAAAAAAATGAGGTGAAACATTTAGTGGGGCGTTCTGTCCTGAGGGGTGGGAGATGCGAGCGTCGTCTCTTCGGGGTAAACCAGAAAGCCGGAGAAGGTGGTGTACCTCCCTTGGTTGCTGTAGACGGCGTAGCGCTCGTCCTGCTGACTGTACAGCCACACGCTGTCACCGCGTCGGAGAGACAGCAGCAGACTCTGACTCTGCATCTCGCGCCTCTTCGACGTGTCCTCGTCGAACACCATCGCCTGCACCTCGCCCTTCCCGGTCATCAGCTTCACAGAGACGGCCTTGCGAGGGTGCTTCCCGATAGTGAAGGCGAAGAAGTACGCGCCGGGAAAGTGGCAGGTGAAGAGGCCGGAGGTCCTGTTGAAATGTCCCCCGATGTTTACATACTCCACATCGAAGGTCAGAGGTGGCTTGTCCTGCTGCCTGCTGCTCTGACCCAGGAGAGTGGACGTCCGTGCCACAGAGAAAGCAGACCGCGGCTGATCTGAGCTTTGACCTTTGGCCCCAGGGTCGGCCTGAGGGGGGCAGTTTGTGAAGGACGGGCCTAGCGGGGACAGGTGGTTGCTGATGAGGCTGCTTTGGGAAAGGTCTGGGTAGACGAGGTAACCAGAGAAGGTGATGTAGGGCCCTGCGTTGCTGTACAGAGCATACTGAGGACTCTGCTGTAAAAGCAGCCACACAGTGTCCATTTCCTTCAGACTGATCATGACGCTCTGGCTCTGAACTTTCCTTCCTTTCTTGCGGTAGTCGTCGTACGCCATGGCCTGCACCTCCTCTCCGTTCCGCACCAGTATCACAGACAGCATTTTCTTTGGAAACTTCCCCACAGAGAAGGCGAAGTAGTAAGCCCCCGGGATGCGGCAGCGGAAGAGGCCGGTGTCCGGGTTGAAGTCCCCGCCGATGTTGACCGTGAGCCGGCTGAAGGTCACGGCCTTCTGCTTGCCTCCCACCATGCTGTTAGTCTGCGTGGCAGAGAACGCAGAGCGGTAACCTGCCGCCACGGGAGGGGGGTTGAGCGGGGGACACCGGTCGAGAGCAGGAGATCATGATGAGTGCACATGCCAGATAGCAGCATGTGCTCCACTGAGCTAACAGGAAGAAATCAGAAGGAAGTGTGTTATTCACAAACAGCAGATTATAAATGAGTAAAGTGTTATCCAAAATGTGGCTGCTGTGCAAAATATAAGTCTTGATTTGAAGTGGTTTGGACCCTAATAGTAGTTAAAGGTCAACTTTTTACCTACTTCATTTAATAAAACATAAAGAAGAAGTTTCAGACAGAAGATGTTAGCTTAAGCACAAAGACAGGAAGCCTAGCTTTAGCTAAAAGAAAACCAAATACAACTACCGGCATCCTCGAAGTACAAAATTAAAAAGTCATAGTTTGCTTTTTGATTTTGTAGAAAAAGAGTTAAACAGAAATGTTTTGCTAAGTGCTTGTGTTCAGATTGTGTTACTGTGTGAGCCAGGCTAACTCTTCTCCCGCTCCTTGTTTGTTGCCAAGCTAATCGGCTAAAGGAGTAGCTTCACACTGTACACGGCTCAAGCTAAAGGGAGATCGGGCTTTTTCAGTAAAAGCCCCTAAACTGTGGAACAGCCTCTCTCATCCCATCAGGTCTGCCCCCTCTGTTGACTCTTTTAAGTCCCGTCTCAAGACATACTTTTAGATTTTAGCATTTGAGTCCCCTGGCCCTGAACAGACCGTTTCTTTCAGGTTCCTTTGTTGCTTTCTTTATTTTGTTGCTTTCTTTATATATTCTTTCTTTATATATGTATACATATATATCTATATCTATATCTATATCTATATAGATATATCTATATTTCTCTCTTGTGGACGTTGTGATCTGAAGTTGTTTTTTTCTTTTTTAATGTATTGTACAGCACTTTTAAATGTGCTTCATAAATAAATATGACTTGACTTGACTGTACAAGGATACAATTAAGAATCTCTTTTTCTTTCAAGGAATTTTAGATTTTTTTTTTTTTTTACTTTTAACACACAACCTTTATTTTCTCTGACTTTTTTTTGTTGCTAAAATTATAATGTTTAAATCATTGTTCAAATGAACATTTGAAAAACACAAAGTTAGTGTTAAAGCCGAATCGCTAAAAACGATGATGATAAAAGTAAAATGTATGTTTTTTTGATAACGTGATTTGAACCAGACGAGGTTTGTCCCGTCGTTTCTGTAGCCGATATGAAATAAGAAACTCTTGCCAAGACCTGTCAAGAACGATCTTACCACTCAAATCAAACACTCTAATGTGGCTGATATTGTCTGTTCACTCTGTGCACTGAGTCACTGACTGGGATTAGCTACTGGTTCATC